CGCGAGATCGCCGGTGTGGCCCTCGTCGGCGGCGGGGCTCCCGGCCAGATCTACGTATGGTGGGGTGGTGGCTCTGGCAGGAGGTAGGGAGACGGAACAGCCCCGCCGCTGCCGTCCCTGGGCGCGGCGCGGCTTCGCCGGCCGGCCACCGGCAGCGGCGTTGCGGGGAGCGGTGGGGGCGTAGTGGGCCTTGGGCGGCAGTGCGGAGCATGGCGGCTGGGCAAACCCTAGCGCTATTTTAGATCGAGGGGAGCCTCGTTCCCGTCGGAGCTCGAGGGTTTTTTTTCGTTGGTTTTTCTTCGTAGGTATTTTGTCGTTCAATTCAGTTAATAACGATGGGAGTTTGGGCGTGTGCGGGACTCGATCGCAGGGTTTTTCTTGGTTTTTTACGGCTGAAGGGATGGTGGGAGGAAGTACCAAAGAAGTACCAAAAAAGACCGGGTGAGGTGGGACGAAAATAAAACCCGGAACGCGACCTACCAACTGAGACATTAGGAGTAGAGATACTTGAATAACAAATATCTGAGAACACCACCATCTGTTAATAAATACTTCCAGATCTCATTCCCCGCTGCCACTGGTCCCCATTCCCTTCCGCCATCGGCCCCCGTTCCCCGGATCAACCAAAATAATAAAAAAACATTAGTAAGTACTAAAAGGGAAATTAATGGCCGAATTTGGATATTTCTGCATGCATCAGACATGCAAAAGTAGTGATTCTAGGCACATGAATCGTACATTTGGATGCTTGGACGGACTGGTTGCATCAAAGATAATTAAGCTCTCAGTGTTAGCAAGTATAATGCTTAAATACTGGCAGAATCATGTTCCTCACGCATGGTGTTGCAATATTGCTTTTGGCGTCTAGCTCAACCAAAACAGCCGAGATGAGACAGCAAGGAAGCGGGCCAGTGTTGTACCTCAAGGATTTTCCTTCTGAACAAATTCAGAAAAATATATTACCTGGCATATAATCACCCAGTCGCTCCCAAGGTCCAAAGGCACACGAGACTGCGACCGGGACCTTAGCAAGAGGCCGGTCATGGTGGCGGTCAGACGTCGATCCCGCGGCTCGGCAAAAGGCGGCCATGGCTCGCGAGGCGCACGTGCGCAGTGCAGTCAGGGCATCGCGGATCGAGGAGGTTGAGGAGGAGGCGCGACGCTCGCGCCACAGACGACCGGCGACGGACCAGAGTTGGCGGAAGGAGAGGGCCATGAATCGGGGCGAGCTCGGGCGGCCGCGGATGAACAAGGGTCGGAGAGAGAAGGAGGAGAACGGAGAGGAAACAGGAGGCAGGTAGGTTGCGCGAGATCGCCGGTGTGGCCCTCGTCGGCGGCGGGGCTCCCGGCCAGATCTACGTATGGTGGGGTGGTGGCTCTGGCAGGAGGTAGGGAGACGGAACAGCCCCGCCGCTGCCGTCCCTGGGCGCGGCGCGGCTTCGCCGGCCGGCCACCGGCAGCGGCGTTGCGGGGAGCGGTGGGGGCGTAGTGGGCCTTGGTCGGTAGTGCGGAGCGTGGCGGCTGGGCAAACCCTAGCGCTATTTTAGATCGAGGGGAGCCTCGTTCCCGTCGGAACTCGAGGGGTTTTTTTTCGTTGGTTTTTCTTCGTAGGTATTTTGTCGTTCAATTCAGTTAATAACGACGGGAGTTTGGGCGTGTGCGGGACTCGATCGCAGGGTTTTTCTTGGTTTTTCGCGGCTGAAGGGATGGTGGGAGGAAGTACCAAAGAAGTACCAAAAAAGACCGGGTGAGGTGGGACGAAAATAAAACCCGGAACGCGACCTACCAACTGAGACATTAGGAGTAGAGATACTTGAATAACAAATATCTGAGAACACCACCATCTGTTAATAAATACTTCCAGATCTCATTCCCCGCTGCCACTGGTCCCTATTCCCTTCCGCCATCGGCCCCCGTTCCCCAGATCAACCAAAACAATAAAAAAACATTAGTAAGTACTAAAAGGGAAATTAATGGCCGAATTTGGATATTTCTGCATGCATCAGACATGCAAAAGTAGTGATTCTAGGCACATGAATCGTACATTTGGATGCTTGGACGGACTGGTTGCATCAAAGATAATTAAGCTCTCAGTGTTAGCAAGTATAATGCTTAAATACTGGCAGAATCATGTTCCTCACGCATGGTGTTGCAATATTGCTTTTGGCGTCTAGCTCAACCAAAACAGCCGAGATGAGACAGCAAGGAAGCGGGTCAGTGTTGTACCTCAAGGATTTTCCTTCTGAACAAATTCAGAAAAATAGATTACCTGGCATATAATCACCCAGTCGCTCCCAAGGTCCAAAGGCACACAAGACTGCGACCGGGACCTTAGCAAGAGACCGGTCATGGTGGCGGTCAGACGTCGATCCCGCAGCTCGGCAAAAGGCGGCCATGGCTCGCGAGGCACATGTGCGCAGTGCAGTCAGGGCATCGCGGATCGAGGAGGTTGAGGAGGAGGCGCGACGCTCGCGCCACAGACGACCGGCGACGGACCAGAGTTGGCGGAAGGAGAGGGCCATGAATCGGGGCGAGCTCGAGCGGCCGCGGATGAATAAGGGTCGGAGAGAGAAGGAGGAGAACGGAGAGGAAACAAGAGGCAGGTAGGTTGCGCGAGATCGCCGGTGTGGCCCTCGTCGGCGGCGGGGCTCCCGGCCAGATCTACGTATGGTGGGGTGGTGGCTCTGGCAGGAGGTAGGGAGACGGAACAGCCCCGCCGCTGCCGTCCCTGGGCGCGGCGCGGCTTCGCCGGCCGGCCACCGGCAGCGGCGTTGCGGGGAGCGGTGGGGGCGTAGTGGGCCTTGGGCGGCAGTGCGGAGCGTGGCGGCTGGGCAAACCCTAGCGCTATTTTAGATCGAGGGGAGCCTCGTTCCCGTCGGAACTCGAGGGGTTTTTTTCGTTGGTTTTTCTTCGTAGGTATTTTGTCGTTCAATTCAGTTAATAACGACGGGAGTTTGGGCGTGTGCGGGACTCGATCGCAGGGTTTTTCTTGGTTTTTCGCGGCTGAAGGGATGGTGGGAGGAAGTACCAAAGAAGTACCAAAAAAGACCGAGTGAGGTGGGACGAAAATAAAACCCGGAACGCGACCTACCAACTGAGACATTAGGAGTAGCGATACTTGAATAACAAATATCTGAGAACACCACCATCTGTTAATAAATACTTCTAGATCTCATTCCCCGCTGCCACTGGTCCCCATTCCCTTCCGCCATCGGCCCCCGTTCCCCGGATCAACCAAAACAATAAAAAAACATTAGTAAGTACTAAAAGGGAAATTAATGGCCGAATTTGGATATTTCTGCATGCATCAGACATGCAAAAGTACTGATTCTAGGCACATGAATCGTACATTTGGATGCTTGGACGGACTGGTTGCATCAAAGATAATTAAGCTCTTAGTGTTAGCAAGTATAATGCTTAAATACTGGTAGAATCATGTTCCTCACGCATGGTGTTGCAATATTGCTTTTGGCGTCTAGCTCAACCAAAACAGCCGAGATGAGACAGCAAGGAAGCGGGTCAGTGTTGTACCTCAAGGATTTTCCTTCTGAACAAATTCAGAAAAATATATTACCTGGCATATAATCACCCAGTCGCTCCCAAGGTCCAAAGGCACACGAGACTGCGACCGGGACCTTAGCAAGAGGCCGGTCATGGTGGCGGTCAGACGTCGATCCCGCGGCTCGGCAAAAGGCGGCCATGGCTCGCGAGGCGCACGTGCGCAGTGCAGTCAGGGCATCGCGGATCGAGGAGGTTGAGGAGGAGGCGCGACGCTCGCGCCACAGACGACCGGCGACGGACCAGAGTTGGCGGAAGGAGAGGGCCATGAATCGGGGCGAGCTCGGGCGGCCGCGGATGAACAAGGGTCGGAGAGAGAAGGAGGAGAACGGAGAGGAAACAGGAGGCAGGTAGGTCGCGCGAGATCGCCGGTGTGGCCCTCGTCGGCGGCGGGGCTCCCAGCCAGATCTACGTATGGTGGGGTGGTGGCTCTGGCAGGAGGTAGGGAGACGGAACCGCCCCGCCGCTGCCGTCCCTGGGCGCGGCGGGGCTTCGCCGGCCGGCCACCGGCAGCGGCGTTGCGGGGAGCGGTGGGGGCGTAGTGGGCCTTGGGCGGCAGCGCGGAGCGTGGCGGCTGGGCAAACCCTAGCGCTATTTTAGATCGAGGGGAGCCTCGTTCCCGTTGGAGCTCGAGGGGTTTTTTTTCGTTGGTTTTTCTTCGTAGGTATTTTGTCGTTCGATTCAGTTAATAACGACGGGAGTTTGGGCGTGTGCGGGACTCGATCGCAGGTTTTTTTTTGGTTTTTCGTGGCTGAAGGGATGGTGGGAGGAAGTACCAAAGAAGTACCAAAAAAGACCGGGTGAGGTGGGACGAAAATAAAACCCGGAACACGACCTACCAACTGAGACATTAAGAGTAGAGATACAATTTAGTCAGGGACGGAGTTGCCTTGTAGGTTAGGGTTAGTTGGCCCCCAGTGAAATTAGAAAATCTTTCTCTGGCTTAGCACTAACCACTCTTCACTTATAGAAGATGACCCCACTATCATATATATATCGACATCAGACTTTTTTGGCTTCGTCCCGTTCGTCCCGGAATCTACTCATATGTACTACTTCTTCTCTCTCAATTTACAGCGTGCGCGTACCCCTAGGTCGTCAATTTGACCAACCTAATACAAGTCACATATTACAAAAAATATATCAATTAAACTTCAAACGTTATATTTTCAAAAAGTATAATTTTTGTGTTATATAGTTTATATTAGAGTGATAAAATTGACAACCTATATATACGTGTAGGACTTGTAAACTGAAACGGAGGGAGTTAGTGTCTACTTTTTTGTTTGCATTAATTTATTACTTTGAGATACTAGATTGCCTCTAAAATTTTTAGCTACTAAATGATCTAAGGATGTTTCCATTTCAGCTACTTGCACTACGGTGCACTGGCTTCTCGAGTAGAGATCTTCAAGGCAAGTAATGGGCCATTCAGCTACTGCATGCTGCGCGGATTCAACGGTACATGGTGACCTTCCTCCTTTGGTTGAGCAAGTACATAATCATGGAAATCTCCGTCTAATGTATATTTATCACTGAATGAAGGTAAATACACCTACAATGGAGAGCAATACGACGCTATAGCTCCACCACAAGGAGCAGTATATGAAAAGTGCAGGGAGGACGTCACCAAAGCACTAAAGTTGAACGCACCCTGTGAAACAAAGAACTGCACCTTCAACGGCGTGTGGAGTGGCGGCGGCGGAGCTGGCCTGTCCGACCTCTACATCACCACCAGCTTCTACTACACGGCATCACAGGTTACAGGGAGCCACTAACAAATTAATTAATCTGGATGCATGTGAATTAGTGTTGGCTACAAGAACTGATGAACTATGTGTGTGTGTGTGTGTGTGTGTGTGTGTGTGTGTGTGTGTCTGGCCAACAGGTTGGCTTGATCGACAGCGAGGCTAGCAGTGCAAAGACCACCCCTGCGGCGTGGAGGGCCGCGGCAGAGAAGATTTGCCCGCTGAGCTTCAAGGAAGCGAAGGATGCGTACCCAAGGGTCCGAGCCATTGACACGCCCTACATTTGCATGGACCTTATCTACCAGTACTCCTTGCTCGTGGATGGATTCGGTAAGCAGCTGCAAATATATACTAGTCTTCACTGTTTAGTTTTCGTTGATTGATGAATGGATTTGGGTACAGCTGTTGGTGTTTTATGGCAATGTGAGGCCAATCAAGTAGACTTGGTTTAGCTGATATGATAAGGTATATGTAAGTTTGGAGCCAACAAAAGAGATCACAGTGGCAGAGAAGGTGAAGTACGGGGAATACTTCATCGAAGCCGCATGGCCTCTTGGGGAAGCTATAGAGGTCGTGTCGTCCACAAATCGGCTCCGTGATGCATGATTTAAATTGATATAGTCCCTCCCCACGAGTTGCATGTGTAGCTATGCATAGATGTAGCATGGACGCATATGCATGCTTGCCATCTTCTTTTTTCACCAGAAATGCCAAACACGCCCTATAGATTTTTATATTGTGTTTCTTGAGCTATAGCATGGTCATATGCTTGGATGTTCGACGCAATATGTGTGCAAATCATATTGTCTAAAAGGTTACACCATTATATGCTTGTGCTTGCATATTGTGGAATAGTGCAAGTTATACCTAATATGTGTGCAATTTTTTCATCATTTGATTTAGTTGTTTTCCTTTTAGGGTAATACCAATGCTCTTAATTCATTTTATCTTAGACTAATTTTCTGTTTTGTTTATGAATCTTTTTAGTATATGTCTTTGTTTACTCATAAGAATAAAAAAATGGCAGGAAACGATCTTTTATTTTTCTCGCATGTGCTAATGTTTGTGGCTCCTTTTTATTACTGTTTGCTTTGTTGATTTTTTTCCCGTTGGAGTTCCTCCTATATTTTTGTGTCCAGTAGCAGTTTGATGATGCATTCAGGCGACACTACGTAATTGATGTTAACAACTTAAATGAATTTTCTAATTGATACACTTAAATCATAATTCTTGTTGAAGTTGCACCAGTTTATATTTGTTCTTGCACAATACGAGTGAAAATCTGTGTATCTTGCATGTTTAAATGGATATTCTTTTCATTGTAAAAATGCGGCCAAATTTTAATTTCATGCAATGCTTTCGTTTGCAACAGATTTTGTTTACCAGCCAAGACTCTTTATGCATTTACCATCTTAATTTGATCAAACATTTTAATTAGCAATGGGCCATAGCAGAAGGTAGCTCAGGACCCTTCACGCATTTACCATCTTAATTTGATCAAACATTTTAATTAGCAATGGACCGTAGTAGAAGGATAGCTACAGGCCGGAAGCTGGCAGCTAGTCAGCTAGCTGGCATGCATTCACGTGTTACAGAAGAAAAAACGTGACTTGAATGTATCCGTTTGATTAAAATCTCACGGGTAGAAAAGAAAGTGACTGATATACACCCAAAAAATTAGGCACATGAGGCATAGGTGCTCCCAATAAAATTCATGACTGAGAAAGCCCGCAGCAAATATCTTAGATAAGAAATATTCTTCCTCGAAGTGGCACCAACGACATATCGAAGAATGGCGTCGGTCGTCGGACACTCAATCTGACATGACTAATATCTGTTCACGGCGTCGGTGTCATATGAAGTGGATGTTGTTGCACAGAAGCATAGCTACATGTATGTCCGGGAGGGGGGGGGGGGCAGTGCCCCCCTTCCCCAGCCCAGGAAAACCTTATGAAGTGTATGCTATCCCCCAGCCATGCAGTTGTTTGGCTTCGTGATGGCCTCTGCACACAAAACCTCCGATATATCAGAAAAGAAAATCTTCTTTTACAGTATGGGAATTTGGGTTCGGCTTTCGGGACAATCGCCACGGTGGAGGGCATCAACGTGATCAGAACCGACAACCTCACATCGCTCTCCGAGCAGCAGCTATGGACTGTGACACCCACAACGGTGGCTGCCGAGGCAACTACATGGACAAGGCATTCCAGTACATCGTCAATCATGGCGGCGGCGCCACTGTGGATTGCTACCCTTACATTGCACGAAACTCAATCTGCAAGGAGACAACATCCTCCGCGGTGGCCATCACCATCGACAGCTAAGCGACAGTGCCTGCGAACGACGAGGCGGCTCTGATGCAGCGGTGGCGGCGCAGCCAGTTGCTGTGACAATCGCTGCTGGTGTCGGCATCCAGTTCTACTCTGAGGGTGTTTAATCCGGCGAATGCGCGCCTGAGCTGGACCACGGCATCACGGTGGTGGGCTACGGCGAGACCGCAGACAACACGAAGTACTGGAGATTGAAGAACTCATGGGGCCTCGATTGTGGCGAGAAGGGATACATCCGCATAAAGCGCGACGTGGGGCTATGCGGGATTGCCAGGGATGCGTCCTACCCCATCAAGAACTAATCAGTGTCCAGTAGAATGCATGATCAGGAGAATAAGACATGACTAGTAGAATGCCCTAAATAAAGATTTTCTCTACAACTCTAGTAAAACTATTACTGTTTTTCTAACTCTCAGGTACCTGAAATATTTTCTCGCATCGGTCACCTTCTTACTTTCTTCCTTCCTTCCTTCACGCCGGACCTCGCCGGAGAAGGCAACCCCACAGTCTATCTTAGGGGGAGCCAAGGCTACCTTGGGGGGGGGGGCATGGCCCCATTATCTATCTTAGGGGGTCGAGGGTGCAGGGGATCACCAGAGTTGTTTTCCGGTGCAGCGGGGCTTAGAGGGTTGGCCGGGCCGGCGGCTCCTACGTCTTGAGTTTGCGGTGGTTTTCCTTGAAGAGGGAAGAGTGATGCAACAATAGTAGCGTAAGTATTTCCCTCAGTTTTTGAGAACCAAGGTATCAATCCAGTAGGAGGCTCCTCACAAATCCCACGCACCTACACAAACAATCAATAACTCGCAACCAACGTAATAAACGGGTTGTCAATCCCTTCACGGCCACTTGCGAAAGTGAGATATGATAGAGATAATATGGTAAGATAAATATATTTTTGGTATTTTATGATATAGATTGGAAAAGTAAAGATGCAAATAAAAGTAGATTGAAAGCTTATATGATAAGAGATAGATCCGGGGCCATAGGTTTCACTAGTGGCTTCTCTCAAGATAGCATAATTATTACGGTGGGTGAACAAATTACTGTCAAGCAATTGATAGAAAAGCGCATAGTTATGAGATTATCTAGGCATGATCATGTATATAGGCATCACGTCCGTAACAAGTAGACCGACTCCTGCCTGCATCTACTACTATTACTCCACACATCGACCGCTATCCAGCATGCATCTAGAGGATTAAGTTCATGAAGAATAGAGTAACGCATTAAGAAAGATGACATGATGTAGAGGGATAAACTCATGCAATATGATATAAACCCCATCTTTTTATCCTCGATGGCAACAATACAGTACGTGCCTTGCTGCCCCTGCTGTCACTGGGAAAGGACACCGCAAGATTGAACCCAAAGCTAAGCACTTCTCCCATTGCAAGAAAGATCAATCTAGTAGGCCAAACCAAACTGAAAATTCAAAGAGACTTGCAAAGATAACTTAATCACACATGAAAGAATTCAGAGGAGATTCAAATATTTCTCATAGATAAACTTGATCTTAAACCCACAATTCATCGGATCTCGACAAACACACTGCAAAAAGAGTTACATCGAATAGATCTCCAAGAAGAGGAAGGAGAACTTTGTATTGAGAATCAAAGAGAGAGAAGAAGCCATATAGCTAATAACTATGGACCCGAAGGTCTGTGGTAAACTACTCACAACTCATCGGAGAGGCCTTGGAGATGATGTAGAGGCCCTCCGTGATTGATTCCCCCTCCGGCGGAGCGCCGGCGAAGGCTCCAAGATGGGATCTCGCGGATACAGAAGGTTACAGTGGTCAAAATAGTTTTTCATGGTCGCCTCTGATGTTTTCGGGGTACAGGGTATATGTGGGAGGAAGAAGTAGGTCGGTGGACGCTCGAGGGGCCCACGAGGGTGGGGGGCGCGCCCACCTGCAGGGGGCGCACCGGGCACCCTCGTTGCCGCCTCGCTTGTTTCTTGACTTCCACTCCAAGTCCTCTGGATCACGTTCGTTCCAAAAAGATCGCTTCCGAAGGTTTCATTCCGTTTGGACTCCGTTTGATATTCCTTTTCTTCAAAACACTGAAATAGGAAAAAAAACAGCAATTCTGGTTGGGCCTCCGGTTAGTAGGTTAGTCCCAAAAATGATATAAAAGTGTAAAGTAAAGCCTATAAACATCCAAAACAGGTAATATAATAGCATGGAACAATCAAAAATTATAGATACGTTGGAGACGTATCAAGCATCCCCAAGCTTAATTCCTGCTCGTCCTCGAGTAGGTAAATGATAAAAACAGAATTTTTGATGTGGAATGCTACCTAGCATAATTCTCACTATAATTTTCTTTATTGTGGCATGATTGTTCAGATCCAAATGATTCAAGATAAAAACTTATAAAACATAAAAATAGTAATACTTTGAAGCATACTAACAAATAATCATGTCCTATCAAAATAACATAGCCAAAGAAAGCTCATCCCTACAAAATCATATAGTTAGGCCATGCTTCATCTTTATCACACAAAATACTCCCATCATGCACAACCCCGATTTCAGCCAAGCAATTGGTTCATACTTTTTAACGCGCTTTAGCTTTTTCAACTCTTACGCAATACATGAGCGCAAGCCATAGACATAGCACTATATGTGGTATATGGTGGTGGTTGTGAGGACAAAAAGGGAGAAGATAGTCTCACATCAATTAGGCGTATCAATGGGCC